CGGGGCAGGGCACCGCCCTCGGAAGCAGCCGGCCCCCGCCCTGGCCGCAGAGGGCCCGCCGCAGAGGCGAGAGGAGCTCCGGGGCGAGCCCCGAGGGTGCCCCCAGACTCGGCCACCACGAGGGGGCCATCAGAGTGTGCAGGTTAGCGCCAGGCCGTGGGACGCGACGGGGTGTTTATTTGGGTCCAGGAAAAACCTAATGCAGTGATGATGAAAATTGCCAGCTTCCCCTCTTAGGGAGAGGGGGCCCCACCGCGCGACGCACAAGCCATCGAGGGGAAGGGAGAGACGGCAAAAGAAGGAGCCAAGCAGGAACGAGAAAACGAGGGAGGAGGAAGACATGGGACGCGACGGGGTATGGACCCTCTCTCTCTCTCTCTCTCCTTCTATCCCTCACTTTTGCACATGGCGCCTTCCCTCTCGGCGGTGGCCAAATTCGGTTAGGTTCTGGGAACCCGGCAGGCGCCCACCTCCGTCGGAGAGCGGCTCTCCCACGGTGTCCGCGGCCTCGTCCTTGGGCGAGGTCGCGGACGAGTCCGTCCGCAGCCCCAGCAGGCCCGCCTCCGGGTGGGTGGGCGAGAATTTAGAGGAGGCGGAGCAGGAGCGCCAGTGGGGCCTGGGGGGCACGGACGGTGGCAGGAAGGAGGGAGGAGGCGGGAGAAGGAGGAGGAGGAGGAGGAGGAGGAGGAGGAGGAGGAGGAGGAGGAGGAGGAGGAGGAGGGAGGCGGGAGGATCCGGAAGAGGGAAGAGGAGCGGCATCAGCACCGGGCGGCAGGAGGGTGGAGGAAAAGCCGGGGGCAGGAAGGGAAAGAGATAGCAGGGAGGAGGGGGCGAAGGCGAGAGGCTGTCGAGGAGGGAGAGGAGCATCAGCAGCAGCAGCAGCAGGACGGATGGGGCCGCGCCCTGATTGAAAAGTCGAGGCTCCGCACAGAACTTGCCCCACGCCAATCGACCGTCGGCCCGTCGGCCCACAGCGGCCACGACCCAGCAGAGCGATGAGGGCGCAAGAGGAGAGATGGAGAGGCAAGGAAAGAAGGAAAGAAAGAGGTGGTGGAGGAGGAGGAGGAGGAGGAACCCGCCTCCACCTCCGAAGGAACTGCCTCCTCGAACGCCTCCACGGGCCTCTCTCACCCCCCCCCGCGTGGTAGGAGTTAGCCATGCCGTCCCCCGGCATAGCCTCCTTCTCCTCCGCCGCCCCCTCGTGGCTCGCAACGCGCGAGCACCGTGACCGCTGGATCCAGCACGCGCGACCGCGGATGGAGCCGAACACGACTACGTCCGCTTGGGCTTGGTTGTCAGTGCACTCGGAGGGGGCGAGGGCGCCAGGAGGCAATGCGGCAATCTCGAGGTCGACCACCTTAGCCTGTGGTGCCCTGGGAGCATGATATGCCTCACGGGGACCCACTGACCCGGGTCAATCCAAGGTCAATCAGGCCTTGCATAATCCTCCAAGATCCGGCAAGATCCTGAACCCGAACTCGGGTCAATGCGAAGGACCCTGCAAGATCCTGCAGGATCCTGCACCCAAGCCCGGGTCAATGTTACCCTGGCCCTGCAGGATCCTGCAAGATCGGGCGCTCTGGCTGACCCCCGTTTGCATTGACCCCCGTCTCAAGGCTCCCGAGCCGCCCCCTGCAAGGCCGTGCTGGTGACCTGGTGAGGCCCCAAGAGGCCCCAGAAACCCTCGTCTGGAGTCTTCGGCGTCGGCGGGCGCAACGAGCGCTGCAGGCAGGGCAACCAGCACTCCGCCCCTCCCGGGCAGCCAGCGGAACGGAATGGCCGTGCAGCCGGATCCTCCGCAGCCCAGGCGCCGTCGAGAGCACGACGCCGCCACGGGCCAGCGCTCGGGAGTTCAGCAGCCACCCGGCCGCCCGAGCGGAATCGCTCGGGCGCCTGGCCCCCGAGCGGGGGCCCCCCTCGCGAGGGGGGCTGGCCTTCCCCCCGGGCGCCCGGGCCAGCCGAACGGGCCAGCACACGGGGCACGGCCTACGGCGCGGCCCGAGCGGGAGGAGGGCCCTGGCCGCACGGCGGTCTGGACCGCTCGCGGGGCGGCCAGGCGGGGAGGCGAGCGGCCGATCCCCTCGCGAGTGGCCTGCGGCGCAGGCGCCGCACACGCACCCTGCGCAGCAGCAGGCCGAGGTGGTCGTCACCGAGGAGGGCGACCACCGCGCTGGGCAGCGCGAGCGGCGGCCCGCTGCTCTGGCCCACCGGCAGCCCGAGGCAGCCGGCGGAACACCCCGAGAGGCCAGCCGGCGGCGCGCAGGGAGACGGGGTCAGAAGGCTCAAGAGTCCGACACTCTGGGAAGTGTCCTACGAATTCTCCGAAGCACCGCCGCCTTCCGGGAAGGCCTGACCTCCCTTAGGATCCCCCCTGGGCGCACCGCCGAACCAGGGATGGTAGGGCGATTGCGCTCCTGTTTTATCAAAGAAAGGAGGAGAGAGATGATGCTGATGATGATGATGATGACGATGATGAGGATGATGATGGTGATGATAATGA